CTCCAGGCTCATGATTTCAACAATAACATTCCACCTAGGGTATATTATCATCACACCCTCTTTGCATTGTTTTCATTCCTTTGAGAGTCATCAATTAGTTTGGAGATAGTTAGACAAGCAACTTGGAATTTTTATGGTCAGTTTAACTTGAGATGAAAATAAAGAAAATATGGATGTAAATTGACTTCCTAGGCAAAACCTACCCTAGAAACATCTGTATGTATACATAACAACCTCAGTGCTTTCTAAACCGCATGCAAATAAGCAATTAGTTCTTAACTCCCTTGCAGTTTTCAGGAAGCACCTCATTTACAAGGAGGCAGGAGGAGGTGGGTGGGGGCCTGGAGTGAGGTCAGAATATATTGTTTAAGCCTGTGGTATAGAGTCATGTGGTGGGAGTTGGGTGGAGGCTACTTCTGCTGGGTTGGGAGGCTACTGGTTTCCTCAGTTGGGCACCCTAGTGTAGCTCTGCCTACCAAATACTATATATCTCTGCCTTTGCATAATGAAATCATTTAGGTTGAGTTAAAAAAAAAAATAAAAAGAGGGTACCCACTTGGTGTCCTTTTGGTGTTAAGCTTATAAGCTCATCTGGGTTCCAATATCAGGAAGATGTGATGCAGTATTTGTCTATGATGTAACATATTAGCTCAGAGACTGGAAGATAGAAAAGAACATTTTGAAGTAAGAGAGCATTTCATTTTTATTAGGTAACCACTACTATTCTTAAAATTTCTTAGAAATGTCCACATTTTCACTTGCTGGCTTGGAAAGTTATCCTGAGCAAATTACACCAATTATATTGTAGGTGCCATGATGTAACTTAATGGAAATAAATCACCAGCTGAGCATTCTTACCTGATAGGCCAGGGGATTTGATTCAGATTGTGTCTAACACATGGTAGGTGTCTCATAAATATTTTGTTGATAGGTGAATTAATTTCATAGTTAATTAAGGCAACAAATCAAAAAGTTAAAAAAAGATGTGCTGCATTCCACACCTGGTTATTAATGCAGCTTACTAATATTTTCCCCAATTTTTGTAGTATCAACACTACCTTTTTGTAGTGCCAAGTGTAGGGATGTAGACACCGTGCATTGATGAGGAGGGTATTATAGACTCAGTAATCCTGAAAGAAAGATTTACCATCCATTTGGGTCATGAATGTTTGTCAAAGATGTGTTACAATTAAATTATGGCATTTGAAAAGCGTTAAGGTCTTGGCCTAGGTTACACCTTCCTGATAATATGAAAAAAAAAAAAAAAAGGTGATGGTCATGGTTCATTCCCCTGGTGTGCAGGAGCTGGCAGGGGCTAGGAAGGAGAGGAAGATCAGGTAAGACACTATGTGTGGTAGGAAATCTGCACACACAATTGTTTATGGCCTGTCTGCTCTGAGTTAATTTTCCAGCCCAAGGACACCTCTGGTGGAATTCAGGGAGCCAGTGCTATCTGAAGACCAGCCTCAGCACACTAGTTCACTCTGGAGGCCAGTGCCCAGGAGGGTGATAAGGAGCTCCAGGGGCTGCACATCACGAGCTCCTGGCAGCAGTGAAGGCCTGCTTACTGCTGAACTGTGACTGTTCAACTCACTATGAAAAACCAGCTGGAAATGAAATGTTAAGGCGGTTTCTTTAGGATGTTACTCGCCCATCTTCCAGATTGCCAGCTGTCTGATTAAAGTACACCTTAAAATTCAATTCCTGTCTCTACTTTATTGGCATTCAGTGGTGACAGGTGGCCCTAACTCCGGTCTTCGGGTTACAGAGCCAGCTGATATGTGCTCCTGAGACCAATTGTGTGCATTTCTTCCTAACTCCATGTTCAATGATGTCATTTTGGTAGCTTGAATTTTGACACTGTAGGAGCATTTAGACTATGGAAATTGGCCTATGCTAATTTTACTAGCTTTTACTAGCATCAGTATTCAGTCTCTTACCCCCAATCCTCCTGTTAATTTTGTTCCTTGCTTGCTCTTACAGTGGGGACTGGAATGTCAGGGAGTCTGATATCTGGATTGTGTTAAGAAAAATTCAATCGGGTGCATTTTAAAGATCCATTGACTTTATTCAAGGATTTATGAAGAAGGCAGCATTCAATCTAGCAGACAGAGGAGCTCCAAGAAACTGTAAAAAAAAACTTTTATATGCAGAAGGGAGCTGGGGTCTAGCAGGTAAACGAACCAGTGCTAATCAGGTGGTTCCTGATTGACTGGTGTAAGATTCCATTTAGGGGAGACCTAAATTATAATTAAGTCTGTTTGCTGACTCAGGGCTTAACATAAATCACTTCATTTGGGGCCAGCTGTCTTATTTTTAACAATTGGAATTTAGATTTGTCTACTTAATATCTCTGTGACCTTGAATAATACATGTAAGCGAATACCCAGTTTTCCCCTCAGTAAAATGGGTTGATGTAGAGCCCATGGGGGTGGGAGGGGCTGTGAGGATGAAATAAGTGATGTTCCCCTGGTGACACAGTGGTTGAGCGCTGGGTTGTGAGGCTGCCTGCAGCCTCTGCAGCGCCAGTTCCATCTCCGGCCACCGGTGAGGGTCCCACAAAAAAAAAAAAAAAAGAAAAAAAAGAAATAAGTGATGTATGGTAAGCTCCTGATAGTGCCTGATACATAGTAAATGCTCAATAAGTGGTATCTTTAGTTAGTGTCCCCCCTCAGTGCTGATTTTCCCCAGTTATATTCATTCACCAAATACAAAGGGGATGGCTCTTTGCAAAACGCTTTGTTCTGCCTGCATAATTCTAAAAGTACTGCTAAACACTATTAAATCACTGAAATTCTGAGATGTCATATGGATGCTTGATAAACGTTGGCCCCTGACACACGTGTTCATTGCTATCATGGACAGACAGTTTTTCAATCCGGGCTTCTCTCCGTCCGTCCTTAGACCATCTTCATCCCACCCAGTTATGTCTCCCTGTCTCCTCTTTGCTCTTTGTTTCCTTCTCTCTTTCCACAGTCAAAGAAACAGTCTCATGGTAGGTGGCATTTCCTCTCTGACCTGTGTAACAGGTTCTTTCCACTGACTCACCTGGGAGCTGCTTTTGTATACCCCGAGGTTAAGAATAAGACTCCATTTCCCTATGAGAATGAGTCTTCTGGCAAAAATGCTGCTCAAGCTTATGAGCGGATGCCCCTCCTTCCCATTTCTGGCTCCAGGTAGTACCCGAAAGGCAGCTTCTCAGAGACAGAGTGGGGAGCAGAACAGGTGGATATACTGAAACACACTGCTGAGGGGAGCAGCAGGTGGGACAGGAGAGGTCTGCTGTGCCATGTGGGTAGCTCCCTGGCCATCTGGGGATCGAACTTAGGTGCTGCAGAGGCTGCGGACAGCGTCATAGTGTTGTGCTTAACCCCTTGCGCCACCAGGGAGACCCCTGTCATCAGTTTTAAACTGTTGCTTTCCATGACCAGCTCGAAAGGATTAAAAATGTAAACCATGACATTAGTGGGTCAAAAACAGCATGTCAGCCACATTTGACTTTCTAGCTCCTGTGATTAATGTTCTTGTGGGCTGCTCCTAAAAAACATTTTATAGGAACTATTTTTTGTTAAACTATTTCATCAACTGCAATTAATATACTTTCAATACCCAATTGTTTCAAAAAGTAATAATGGGGATTAACAATATAGTTTAGCTTCCCATCATATTTTTGGCTGTGTCAACTCTTGTGCATAAGTCAAACTGTTAAAAAATAAAAAGGATGTGTATTTAACATCCTACTTCTAAGTTTTTCAGATGCATTTTAGATCAGTTTTTTTTTTTTCCTTCAAAATAGTGACAGTTCTTCACTGAGAATGAACACAATCCAGTTTATTGGGTTTCATCATTTGAGAACAGCCACCACTGTTCACTTTAAACATTTCCTAACTTTTTACAATGGAAAATAGTCACATATAAATTGCTCAGGATAGAAAAAATAAAGGGCCACATAAAAATTCCTTAGCACAAAATCAGGCCAACTCTTTGGAATTCAAAGTGGTCAAATACCTAGAAGAAATACAGTATAAAACCTGCTGATTATCTGTTGCCTTGGTTATATGGCACAAAGGAAACTTAGACACCAGGCTAACAAGAGGCAGGTTTAATGCACTGATGCTCACTCAGGGGGTTTGCATCCAAAGGCTGAGTCCCATTTGTAGGCAGTCAGGGGCTTATATACACTTTCAGTTTCTACAAGGTTCTGGATGGGCTTGCCTTGGCAGCTGTGCATGGTCAGATGTGATGTGGCTATGTTAGGGGGAAAGGATGTCCTAAAGCTAATTCCATGCAGGCTTTGTGGACTGCACCCCCACCCCAGACCAAAGCCATCAGGACATTGGGAAAGACAAATCCCATCACCACCAAAGGGAAGGTTGCTAGAAACTGAGGGTGGGGTTAAGCAGCCAGGTTTGCTATAAAACCAGACACGTGGGCTTTGGCGGTGGTGGCGGGGGTGGGGGTGGGGGGGTTCCCTTTTTGGCTCTCCGCCAGCTCACAGCGCTAGGCCAGCTCTGAGTGTGCCATTGGGTTTCCAGGTCGGCGGATCGGGTAGGACGCATTAAAGACTTTATTTCCCTATTTTCTCCCTGAGTTGTACATTTCCTCAATTCCCTTTCCCTTGTAAATAAACCTTTCATTAACCTCTTGTGTGTGCCTGTAGTGGAGTATTAATAAGTCCCTTTTAAGCGCACGGGTGAGGACCCACAGCCAGGCAACCCGTTTTATATCGGGGCTGCTCCGCAACAGTTACACACCAAGAAGTGAGTCCTATAGTTGCATACCAAGGAGTGAGTTAAGAGTCGGTAGTCATGGGACCCCCCCAGGTCCATTCTGCCTCATGGCGGTACATGGTCTAACATGAAGCAAGATTCATACCAGGGACTAAATTGCATGCCAGGAATTGAGCAAAAGGGTGTTACCAAGACCCCCAGGCTGCTCATCTCAGGTCACCACGCTTCACCCTGAATTCCTATTTAATAATGTGGACGTTTCTTTCTCAGTGACACAGGAACAACACCTCCAGAGAGTGGTATTTTTGGATTTATGATAAACTTCTCTGCATTCCTGGGTAAGTACACAGTCATTATTATAAATCCCAAGTGAAATGAGATCGATATGTTACTTACAGTTTGTGCATAATTTTTGATTTTAGCCAACTTTATTTTTTTAGAACTATTTTAAGTTCATAGAAAAATTGAGTGAAAGGAAGAAATTTCTGATGTATGCCCTTGTCTCTCAACCACCACATACTACCCCCTCATTATCAGCATCCCCCACCGGCGTGCAGGTTTGTTACCACTGATGAACCTCCGTGATGCGTTGTTACACACAGTTCAGAGAAGGGTTTACTCTTGGTGTATGTACATTTTTCAAAGTCACAACATTTTCAACTATAAATTTGTGCTGTCACTGTGACTTATGGCCACATAATTGAACTATTCCTCACTTCATGTGGTAATTTGCCACAGGATTTTGAAATGGATTTTAAATGTTACTTGATTTTTTAAAAAGATTTATTTTATTTACGCATATATTTGGGGTGTAGGCCAGAGGTGCGGGGGTGTGAGAGGATTCACCAGAGACAGAGTGGGGAACAGAACAGGCGGATTTACTGAAATACACTGCTGAGGGGAGCAGCGGGTGAGACAGGAGAGGTCTGCTGCACCTTGTGGGTCAGCTCCCTGGCCGGGGATCTAATTTGTGCCGCAATGGCTGCCCATAGCTTCATAGTGCTGAGACTTAACCCCTTGTGCCACCAGGGAGGCCCCTGATTTTTTAAATTATGATTTATATGCAAAGCATTTGTGTAAGCCAAAGGCACATACTGCATAAGCTCAGGTTTCTCAAACTGTGTTCTGAAGGCAACTTCCATGGAAATCAGTTGTGGTGCTGGTTAAAATGTATGTTCTGGGGCCACACTGCAGGTCCACTCAGAACTCCTGGGAGTGGGACGCAGGAATATGCATCGTGAACTAGCACTCCAGGGGCCCTGGATACTCCTGAAGCACCTTGGCTAAGGTGCTGGTAGAGGAAAAGGAAAGGTGAAGTAAGGAATCATTTGTCTCCCACTCAGGTATGATTCTTTTCAATTCTTCAAATGCACCTGAGTTTGCAATTGATAGCAACAAACTTTTCAAGCCAATTTAGTCTCCTATGGGGCGAACTGGGTATAGAGATGTAAGATGTAGGGTTCTTTCCCTTTGTCTTTCCATAATCCCCTGCCCAGTTTGTCAGGCACCTATCATGTAAACAGTGTATTTTGTCCCATTGTATTGTAGTGTATTATTGTAACTTGGCTGCTTTGGAGTTTGTTCACCCTACTTGATAGAGAGAAAGCTATACCCCATCACCCAGTTGTGGTCGTCTCCTCCCAAGGTTTTGGAGTTGAACAAGCAGAAATAGAAATCAGAATGAATCAATCCCAGGGTTATCTTACACCATCCTTGCCCAGGGTCCTGATATGAGACAGAATTTTACAACTAACGTGATAAATACAGCTTTTTGTTTTGAGGCAAGACAGAATCTGACAGGAATATCTTGATTTGATATATTACTAGCTTTTAGTTTGAAGAGTTCAGCAAAATATTATGATCATATGCTATGCCAATACATAGAAATCTATTTTATCCTTTAAACATGCATGCTGGGGCCTCCCTGGTGGCGCAAGGGATTAAGAGTCAGCACTATGAAGCAATCCGTAGCTACTGCAGCACAAGTTCAATCCCTGGCCAGGGAGCTACCCATATTGCACAGCAGACCTCTCCTGTCTCGCCCGCTGCTCCCCTCAGCAGTGTATTTTGGTCAGTTCACCTTTTCTGTTCCCCATTCAGTCTCTGGTGAATTCTCTCACCCCCAGCACCTCTGGCTTGTACCCCAGTTTTGTATGCATACATAAATAAATCTTTAAAAAAATACACATGGACTAGATCATAATTTGATCAGTCCCCATTGTTAAACATTGAGGCTATTACTGATTTTGTAATTTACAGTGCTGAAGTGAACATCCTTTTAAATATATCTTTGCAGATGTTTGAACTTTTCTAGAAGGTGTATTTGTTGAATTAAAGGGAATCTGGATCCTTCTGCCTGCTCTGCTCCCCGCTCTGGCTTTGGTGAATTCTCTCACCCTCTCGCGCTTCTGACTGTACCCAGTGCTTGTATAAATAAATAAATAAATAAATAAATAAATAAATAAATCTTAAAAATAAACAAAAAAAAAGTTCAACTAAGAAAGTTGGCTTAAAAAAAAATAAAGGGAATCTGGATCTAAAATTTTGACAGCTACCCATGCATTCCACATTCAATTACAAATAACTGAATAATAATAATAATAGTAGTAATAATAAGCTATGTGATGTCTTTGCATTTGTGCTTAAAGTTGGGGCCACAATAGCAGACAGACAAGAACCATGCTCTCATTGATGTTAATTTTACAACAAATTACTCTTCAAAACAATAATTCATGTTCAGTTAATTGACAGACAGGGTGGGTAAGTGGGGACATGAATACAACCAGGGCTTTGAAAATACAAATTTTAATGAACCAACACAAAACCACTCCTATATCTTTCATCCTAAAAAGTCAAATAATAAAAATCACCAAAATCTCTCTTGCAGGTGCAGCCACAATGTATACAAGATATAAAATAGTAGAGAAGCAAAATCAGACCAGCTATTTTAGCACTCCTGTTTTTAACCTGGTGTCACTAGTCCTTGGCCTGGTGGGCTGCATCGGAATGGGCATTGTCGCCAATTTCCAGGTATGACCTGAAACTTTCTCAAGGGGTGGAGGTGACTGGAGTGTGTGTGTCTGCAGGAGAGAAGCAAGAGCTCCGGGAGCACACTGGTGCCTGGGCTGCTATCCAATAATGGATGGGTTTACAACAATTGGGATAGTTTGCTTTTTAGAAAGTGATCTTTAACATTTGCAGGTCAGCCCCATCTAGAACTTGGGAAAAATGAGGGTGCATGTTTGTAAGCAAGTGGGTTTTGAATAAGGCTGTGGGCTCTGTGGTGCCCTGTGTTCCCCATGAGTTTGCTGTATCAGAACTCCTTCATTGTCGCGATTTCACTGAGCATGAAAACATTTGTGAGCACGTGTGTGTGTGTGTGTTTACCAGTTCTATCCTTCTGCAAATGAAGATACAGGGCCCTGGAGGTGAAACCACTTGCTCACAATCAGCTAATTGCAGAACCAACATGTGACTCCACTGTTGCAGATGAACTTATGTGATCACCCCTATGGAGACTTCTCGATAAAATCTCACTGTGTCAAGTGTTTGGGGGAAAAAAGAAACCTGCTTGTTTTATTCTGATTTGTGGATTCCTGTTTGTGCCAAGGTCTCTCTTCAAGAAGCCTGAGCCCTTTTTGTCTATGAAAACAATATTTAACATTTTACAAATATTTGTTGCATTTCCAATGAATACTAATTGTAGTACAGCACTCACCTCTGTAGCGTTATGACAGGATTCAGTGAGGCTCTGCCAGTGGCAGCGTCTGCACTTGGTCATCCTCATTTTATCAGGGAGCCTCACCCACTCTCCCCGAGTGGCAGCAGAGAGGTAATTATCCCAGGCTGACATTTTGTTCTGCCCGGGGCTCCTCGTCACTTTCCTTGCATCTGAGGTGGGATGATCTCGTGTGATGCTTGTTTTGACAGGAGGATGAGAGCCTTTGCCGTGAGTGGCTGCTAGGGCACATGCCCGCGCTCTGAAGCAGCAGCAGGGGGGCTGCAGCCTGGTTTTGACCTGGGAAAGTCATGTCCTCAGGCCTCCAGCCCACTCCTGCATAAAGTCAGACCAGTGTCAGAGACTTGTTCAGCCTGCACCACGTGGGCATCATGGAATCACTTCTTCTGCCATGCTTTCTGCAGACATCCAGGGCACTGTAACAAAGTGCTCCTCAAAACTCAGTGCTGTGTTGAGGGGCGAGGGGCAGACACCTCTCCTGCTGCATCTTCCGGACAACTGACAAGGCAGGGATATTATTCTCTCAGGTCTCAGACCCAACAAGTTTTTATTTTGGATGTTACAAATTCATAATTGCTATTTTTCTCTTGTTAACATTGGAAGCCAGAGGAGGGAGAGCCAAATTTGTGGCCTCTCTGAAGCAAGCGTGTAACACTTCCTGGAGGGCATTTTGTGGACTGTAGGGACAGGACAGGGATGGAGCAGGATCGCTATGACCTGAGCAGATGGGGTAAGGAGGAGTCCTGGGGCCCTCAGTGGAAATTTTCAGGCTTTTATTGGGATTTACCATGTACACAGCAGGCAGGGATGCCCTGGGGGGAGGTGGGGGGCAGGAGGCTGGCAGGCCTCCTAGCCCCAGCAAATCTTCACTCTTCCTGGGCTCTCCGGCCTACTCTCTCTCCTTCTGGTTCTGTTGTTCCGCTCACCCTGCTCTTCCACTGGCGTCCCCGTGACTCTGCTCTTATAAGCCCCGTCTCTCAGCCCAGGTGTACCCACTTACCTATGCCCACACCCTACTCCAGGTGCCCGCCATCAGGCATGCATTCAGGACCGCAGGGATCCATCATCAATCCTAATGGTGGGAGGGCAGAAAAGCCAATACTTACCCTGCATGGACCAAATTTGTTTCTGCTCCACATTCCTTTTCTTCTCTGATGGTTTCTCCGTGAGGAAGTGAGGTTAACATGCTATGATGCATGGTTGCCTGTGATGTTTATCCCACGGTGGGACATTTCCCCAGGTTTTAGGACTGTATATATAGCTGCTTCCTAACGTCAGACTTACTGAAACTTTTCTGTATGACAGGCATGTTTATGAACATATCCCATGATTTATTAGCTTCTAATAACAACCTTAGAAAGTAGGCAGTATTATTATCCCCACTTAAAGGTGCGAAATGGAGACCCAGAGAGGTTAATATGTGTCCAAGGTCATGAGTCACGAAGGGCAGAAGTGGCCTTTGAGAGGAAATGGTCTTTCTAGAACTTATGGGAAAGAGTTTCCACAAAGCAGCCTGAGGACATCTCTGTGAGAAAAAAAGCTTTGACCCAGTTAATAGTTCTAGCATCAGAAAGAACAGTGGGGAGAAATTAAAGCAGTGAGGGGAAGACTTGGAATGATAGACTTTGTGTCGCAGAGTGTGGACAATGTCACTCTGTGTGACACAGCACACCCCAAATGGTAGCCTATCACTTGATTCTCTGAACAACTCGACATTGAAAGTAGTAAGAGGTTGAATTTTAAACCTATAGGGTAGACTTAACTTCAGCAAGAGAATTTAGATAGTTAGATACTTGAAATTTTGGTGCTCTCGAAGGATTCCATGAAGTGATTAAATCTTTACAAAACCCAGAAATAGAATCTTTCACTTCCCTGGGAGCCAAGGACCTCCTTATCCTTTTCCCCATAAATCTTTTTTAAAACTTCCTTGCTTGATGTCCAGACCATGATGATCATGAGGCACTGGAAACCATGAGCTGATTTAAACCAACTCCCTGGTACCTCAAGAAGAATTAGAGAGATGAGGGCAGTAGGCAGCATAGGCAGTAGGCAGCCCCCTCTGGTGGGCTCCCTACTCAGGAGTGCATTACACTGATCAGAAGTTCACAGATGAGTCTCTTTCCTGAAAAGGTGGGTGGGACGGCTGCTTTTTAGAATATTCTCACTGGTTTCTCTCAAAGTTTTACTGTCCTTCAAGAAGTTTGCCTTTTGAAAAAGACAAGGTATTGTATTTTTTTCATGTATAACTTCCCTAAATCTATATGTCCATAGTAGATCCCCTATGTATGAATAGAATCTAGACCTAATAATTGCAGAGTTGATATGCCCCATTGCAGTCATATGTAAATATAATTCAAGTAGTAGAATTTTTCCTTACATTCTTAGGTGTAATACCAAGAAATAAATTTCCTTAGAAAATAAAACTTTTTAAAAAAATTTTTAAATCTTCCTTTCCCAAGTAGAGGACAAAAACATGAATAGCAGTTTCTTTGTGAACAGTCTGGATGCATAACACTGGTGCAGGGGAAGTCTGGAGTTCATCAATCAATGCAAAATCCAGGAAAAGGGTGTGGACAGTGAGTTGGGGGTCACCAGGAGTCTGGTGCCAAAACGAGTCTCTCTTTGACAATTCTTTCACTTCCCCTTTGTAAAGCTGGTGTTTCTAAGTTCAAGCAGAGAATCATTTCATCTAAATGTCATTATCAGCCACGAAGGTAGGTGTCTGCTGCACATTGGAGGGAAACCTGAGGGAGGCTCCTGCATGGATCGTCATGAATAGCCAATCACCAGGGGTTAACACCAGCTCTCCTGGCTAGACTGGGTATAGGAGCTTCCTTCAGGCTGAAAGTCTCCCGCTGGGCTTGAGAACTTGAACTTGCCTCAGTATGGCAAGAGGGGTGTTTTTACTTAGATTTGTGTATTCATTTTAGGGTGGCTTGGGAAGGACAAACAGATTATTTGGGAGCATGGAGTGTAAAAACTCCAAGCCACCCTGGGCACCTTCCTGGAACTGGTCATGTACTTATATATGAAGTTTATCATATGCTGTGCACTGCAGACCTGCAAGACAGAATTGCTCCACGCCCATTCTACAGATACAGAAACTGAGGTTTACACCTGAGGTCACAGAGCCCCATGGTGGAGTTAGGATTTCTTGTATCCAGGTCGCCCAGACTCCAAAGCCCATCCTGCTCAGCTCTCCCCAGCTCCCGAGGGGGACGTCTTTCTGTCCTTGTCCATGTCCCCTCTTGATTTCTTTCAGCCTCTGGAAGGCTTGTCCTCCGTGGTCTTCTGCAAGCAGCCGCAACTTCCAAGGAGCGGCAGGTGTTTCTGTGATGACCGATGGCCTTAGCAGCCCAGAGCGGGTGAGTGCTGTCCGGACGCAGAACAGACTCGTGCAGAGTAACGGAACATTTGTGACCTTCCCTCCAGGAGCTAGCTGTCCCCGTGGTCCACGACGGAGGTGCCCTCTTAGCCTTTGTCTGCGGTGTCGTGTACACGCTCCTGCAATCCATCATCTCTTACAAATCGTGTCCCCAGTGGAACAGCCTGTTAACGTGCCACATACGGATGGCTATCTCTGCTGTCTCCTGCGCAGCTGTTGTCCCCAGTATCCTTTTCACATCTGTCAGAGTCCTCGCAAGCTTGAGCCCCCCCACCCTGTCTTCACCCCCCACCCTGTCTTCACCCCCCCACCCAAAAAAAAGCATGCAAAAGAAAAGGTTAACAGTCAGGTTTCCACTTGCTTCACAAGAACAATTGCGAGAAAAGTGTCTGATTAGATCAAAAGAATCTTCAGTGGGGTAATGGTGTGAAAGGAGAATGGAAAAATGTCAGAGAACTTGAGTCTGTTTGCTTTCCTCTTACCAGGTCATTTCATGGGCCATGCGAAAATATTTATTTTTCCTTTTAATGTTTGACTAAAGACACCAAATATTGATCTTGTGCTTGAAGTAATAGCCCCATAAAGTCCTAAACAGCCAATACTCCCCTCTCTCCACCTGTAGGTGATAAATGGTCTCAGTTAATCCTCCATGTTAAGAGGTTTTCTTAAAAGCGCTATATAATTTACTTCTAAGTCAAGTAAAAATGCCTCTAACCTTTTCTTTTTATCACTGATTTCCTACCATTTTCGTTTTTAAAGCTGTATTTATTTATGCATACAAGAACTGGGGTACTGGCCAGAGGTGTGGGAAGTGAGGAGATTCATCAGAGACAGAGTGAGGAGCAGAACAGATGGATCCACTGAAATCCACTGCTGAGGGGAGCAGCTGGAGAGTCAGGAGAGGTCTGCTGCGCCATGTGTGTTGCTCTCTGGCTGGTCGGGGATCGAACTCGTGCTGCAGAGGCTGCAGATTGCTTCATAGTATGGGGCTTAACTCCTGTGCCACCAGGGAGCCCTGAATTTTCATTTTCTAACTCAATAATATGAAAAGAAAAATAAGGATTTATCATGGTTGTATAGTACAGGCTTGCTTGCTTTCTTAAAAAAAAAAAAGCCCAATGGAATATATTTTAAAGATCTTACTGGTTTTATTCAAGGAATCATGAATTGGGTAGCATCCCATCAGCAGGTGGAAAGGACATCCAAGCAGCCATACAAGATGGAAAACTTACAGCTGCGGAAGATGGGAATGGGACAGATTGGTTGTGGGAGTTCACCTTCTAGGGGTGCAGGGGTCTCTCAGGCAGAAGACCTCACCAGAACCCCTCCAGCGATTCCATTCCTGGGAGGGCATTAAGTCTCTGGTCTTGCGGAGCTTAGTCCCAGTGACTCCATCTTGGACCTGTTTTCTCTTTTTTGAACAATTTCAAGAGGTATTTAACAAAGAAAATTAAAAAAAGAAGCTGTGGTCTTTAGCATGGAAAATTCCCCATCTTTCAAAATACCATCTGCAGCCATATCAGAGAAAGCTGCAGAGTCATTAACACTGGTGATTACTGTCAGACCGGAAGACAGTGGGGCTGTTTCACTAGTGGCATCAAGTGGGAAAGTTTGAGTGAAAACACACTAGGGGCTTCTAAATATTAAGCTTGACATTTCTTTCTTTTTTTTTTTTTGAAAGGGAGATAAATTTTTTTTTTTTTAAGATTTATTTTTATTTATTTATACAAGCACTGGGTACAGTCAGAAGCGCAGGAGGGTGAGAGAATTCACCAGAGCCAGAGCGGGGAGCAGAGCAGGCAGAAGGACCGAAGTACACTGCTGAGGGGAGCAGCGGGCGGCAGGAGAGGTCTGCGCGCCATGTGGGACCCTCCTCCGGTGGCCGGGGAGCAGCCGGGGATCGAACCGGCGCTGCAGAGGCTGTGGGCAGCTTCGCAACCCAGCGCTCAACCGCTGCGCCACCGGGGAGGCCCAAGCTTGACATTTCTTTTCTTAAGATAGAAGTCACTTTATTATTTTTTTGGAGATGATCAAATTTCTCCCCTTTATTCAGTGAACTTGGTATATTACATTGATCGATTTTCTTTTTCTTTCAGAATTTCAAATTTATGTATATATATATATATAACATCATTGTTCATTTTTGTACAATGTTTGCTTTCTCCTCTCAGGTGTAGTCCCTGTAAGATTCCCAACACCAGTTCACCCCTGCACCATCATCATAGTCCCTTGTGCTCTCCCTGTCCCTATTTTGATCCCTCTCCCTCTCCTTTCCCTGCAGAATGGTTCTGATTTATAGTTGCCTGTTAATTTTCTTTGAAATAGACATCACTTAAAAAGCCTCCCCGGTGGCCCAGCGGGTCGAGTGCAGTGCTGTGAAGATGTCCGCTGCCTCTGGGGGGTTTGATTCCTGGCCGGCCAGGGAGATACCCACATGGCACAGCAGACCTCTCCTGCCTTGCCTGCTGGTCCCCTCAGCAGTGGTTTTAGTCAGTCTGCCTGTTCTGTTCCCCACTCTGTCTCTGGTGGATCCTCTCAACCTCCCACGCCTCCAGCCTGTACCCCGGCCCTCGTATAAATAAATAAAATCTTAAAAAAAAAAAAGTAGCATATGAAAAATTAAAAAAAAAAATAGAAGTCACTTTAAAATGTGACATATAAGTATGGTATTTTTTCATCTTCCAAAAGAAGACCTTTAATTATAAAATTTCTAAAGAGAGAAATCAAGTTCTAGAATTGAGAAATTTAATGACCAAAAATACATACCCTGTTTCCTAAGATAGCTCCTTCTTGATATTCTGGTCCTTGTTATGAATTGAAGTCACTCCCGCTTTCACTTCAAATATCAAATTAGCTTGTGTTAGCTATAAAAAAATTTTTTTTTAGTTGAAAAATTTATACTTGAGGGGTTGGTAGTGTCAAAAGCAAAATTTCTTGGTGTAGGCAATTTTCTCTTGCTTTCAAGTTTGAACAGGTTCCTAGATATTAAAATCAGAGTGTTTCAGCAAAATAGACATTTCTGACCTCAGAGTTTTGACATATTAATAGTTCCCATTTCTAGGAGCTTCTTGTGAACCAAGCCAAGGAATAACAACCCCAAACAGAAATAGGCTGCATCCATATATCACATAAACCCGAACGAATTCATCCATGTAAAAGTTTTAAATATTACCATAGTGTTTACATTTCCTTACAAAGATTTTCAAGTGTCTTTAAAGGGCCCTTGTTTTCCCTTACCGTGAAATGACCTTATCTGACTTCTGAAGAAACAGAGGCACAGAGTGAGGTCAATAGCATCCCACTTTGAAGCCCGCTCCCATAGTTCTCTCTCTTGCGCCAGGCTTCAAAATCTCCAGAACCTTCCCCAGATCACTGACTCTGGTCCGGGCTCCTCCCTTGCTTGGGACATGTGGTCTGGGACAGTGTGTTTTTCAACCTCTTTTTTACACTTTCTGCCCTGAGCCTGGCTATTGTCTATTTTCTGCTTCAGTCCAGGCTTTTCCCCCTGGCTCTCCTCCTCCGCTCTGTCCTGCTAGGATGGGCCATCTGTCCAGGGAGGTAGCCACTGACCCATGTGGCTGACCCACGTGGCTGTCACTTCAAACACCACAAGTCAGAATGCAGATGTGCTGTAAGTGGGTTCAAAGGCTTAAGAAAATAAAGTAAACATCTCACTAATTCTTTGTATTGTTACATGTTGAAATAAGATTTTGGGTATATAGGATAAAATGAGATATTCAAATTCATTTCACTTCTTTTTAGTTTTAAAAACCGTGGCTTCTGTTGTAGCAAATTTTCATTGAGCATGTAGCTGGCATGTTTCTGGTGGGCTCCTCAAACCTCACCACTTAATCAAGCTTGACTCCATGAAACCTGCCTCCCGCTTGGTCTCAGAAATTTCCCCCCAAGAAATTTCTCGCCAAGGCAGCATTTTCCCCTGGGATTTGTCCGACAAGGCTGTGAGGTTTCTTGGGTGCCAACACCAACTCTGTTTCACCTGGGTTTTCTCTACCTCCTCTCCCTTATTTTTGCCACACACACCTCACAGGGGACTGCTGAAGAGTGAATGCATAACCCCTGTCATCATGAAACTGAAGGTTTGAAATTATGGGCAGAAATGTTGGTATTAACATACACATAACATCAAATACACTTGACATCCTCACCATTTTGAAGTGTGGTTCAGTTAAGTGAAGTATATTCACCATCCATTCCACAATTCTGTCCATCTTGTAAACCCCCCAAATCTATACCTTTTAAACCCTAACCCCCCATCATCCACCCAGGCCCCAGGCCCTGGCAAACATGTCTACTTTTTCTCTGTGGGATCTTGATTCAGTACCTCACATAAGTGGAATCGCTCAGTGTTTGTCTTTCTGTGACTGACTGTGTTACTTAGCTTAACATCCTCAAGGCTCACCCGCATCGTAGCACATGACAGCACAAGGCAGAATGTCTCCCCTCTGAGCAAGAGTCCGTCGCCTGCACCACATTCTGCTTGCCTGTCCCACCCACAGACGGAGCTTGGGTATCACTGTTGGGAGTAGCGCTGCTACGAACATGCGTGACTAGACAGATCTCTCTGAGACCCTGCTTTCAATTCTTTTGGGTAAACACCAGGAAGTAGAATCGCTAGATCATATGGCAGTTCTATTTTTGGTTATTTGAGGAACCTCCTTACTGGTTTCCACAACAGCTGTACCATTTCACATCCCCACCAGCAAAGCATGGGGTTCCAATTTCTCAGCGTCACCAACATTTCTTGTTTTTGTGTCTTTGACAGCAGCTGCCCTAATGGGGAGGAGTTAGAGCATTTTAACACTATGCAATGATTATATTAGTAGAAGACTAATCTAGGTGTAACATTAAAGGACCTATTTTCTTCTGCAGTTTCCTTAACAATTTCCTTTTTACAGTGATTGCCTGTGCATCACTAATTTCTATAACCAAGCTGGAGTGGAATCCAAAAGAAAAGGTAAAATTTAAGTCATTTTTAAAAAAAGATTTATTTGTTTATGTGTACAAGAGCTGGGGTGTAGGCCAGAGGTGTGGGGGGTGAGAGGATTCACCAGAGACAGAGTGGGGAACAGAACAGGCAGATCAACTGAAATACACTGCTGAGGGGAGCAGCAGGTGAGGCAGGAGGGGTCTGCTGCACCATGTGGGTCACCTCCCTGGCTGGCCGGGGATCAAACTCTTGCTGCAGTGGCTGTGGGGAGCCTCATAGTACTGTGTCTTAACACCTTGTACCACCAGGGAGGCCCAGTCATTTTCAATACAATTATTGAAACTGGGTTTGTGAGGCTGTGGCTGGGTTATGCCTGGAAAGGATCACATTTTTTTCTTAGGACACCTTGCAAAATAAGGAGTACATGTGGCATGTAATTAATTTACTGTTCAATTATTATCAATGCCTGTGTTGTCATTGACTGTCAGGTTGATCCCAAATGCTTCCTGGGATCATCTGAAAAATTTTGAATTCCTAATTATCTCCTAAAAACTAAAGCCATCTATGCTTAGCATGAGAGGTTGGACATTGAAGGCAGGGAGTGGAGTAAATGAAGGTGAGGAGGCCAGAGGAAGAATGGACTGTCAAGAGGGGGCCGGGGCAGTGTGGTAGGTGGCTCCTTTCAGAAGGGAGGAGACAGAAATGCGTTCAGGGACAAATTTGAGGGGGAGTCATTTGTGCAAGACTTTATTTAAGTGGTGAGCTGAGAGGCCCTTACTTGATGTACGTGATCAGAGTAAACCTTTGAAGCCATTTGCACAGGAAGTAAACAGAATTGGATGTTAGTCAGAGGCAACACCTGAGATGGCTTGAAGAGGAGAGAGTCCTGAGTTAGCAGGCCAGGGAGGAGGCAGTTCTACTAGTTCTGATTTTAAATCAAGATTAGCCTGGATCAGAAGTACTGGGGAGAATGTTTGATGGTCACTGGCAAAGTGACCAGTGAGAACGAGGGCACATGGTGTATCGAAGATGACTTCCAAGTTTTTATCTTGGGTGAACCAAAGAATTTGTTCCTAAGAGGAGAGAAAGATAAGGTCCCTCGAGGGAATAAATGATTTTTGTGGGTGGGTTTAGTTTTGCAATTATTGACTCTGATGTGATAAGGAAACACTGAGGAGAAATGTCCAGTTAGGTACGTGGCTGTAACCTCTGGGGGTTGAGAGCCCTCAAAACCCAGGGTAGTGTGATCAGTCACTTCTAGACCAAACTTCAGAATATGTGGAACTGAGTTTTTGGAATTGAGATATGGGAGTTAGTGGCTTTTTCTTGGAAGCCCATTGTAGAGCCTAAAGAAATGGTGAGACCAGTGATTCATTTGTCCACTTCACAAATATTTAGGAGAAATAAAATACTTGGTTAGAAGGGACATATTGGGAGCAGGGGAAGGGCTTTCCATGATGGAAAAATCTAGCATGTAAGAGGCAAGAGAAAGATGGAAGATGGTGAGGAGGAGCAGTTCAAAGACAGTGATTCCTGAAAGTGAGAGCTCACAGCACCCCAGCATGCACTTTACTCCTCAACCTCCAGGGGGAGACCTTCCACCACAAATCAAACATCTGTAAGCGGCCTGGGTCCAGCAAAGCCGATCTATCCCCAGGCACTTGAGTCTTTTTTTTTTTTTTTTTTCTGTTCCATTTTCTACATTAAAAATGTGGAAAGGACCTGGTTTGCTGTTCGCTGCATAAATTACCATGCCTCTCTGGTCTTCTGTTTCCAGATCAGTGAATGCAAAGAAAACCCTTTATATCCATTCACTGAATAGAATAATCATTTAGGATGGGGTGCTTAGAATTTTTGCAGCACATCCCTATGCATCGACTTACTTGGGAGGGAGAGAATTATAATGTCGCTGTCTCTTTTGCATAGGAGATGAGAGTATTGCCTGCATTCATACATGAGGAGTGGAGAAATCTGAACTCCTGATTCGGTGCATTTCTCTTGCTAGGATGCTAAAGAAATTCTCCCTCACTCACCCCACATTCTGCCTCTATTTTTATAAGTCATCTTTGTTGCCTGGGGGTGTTATGGGGTGGGGCAGGTCCCCCGTGTTGTACCAAAAGGAGGGGGTCTCCGTCTCTACCCCTAATGTAGGCTGGCCAGGTTCTCCCCAACATGCCCTGGACGGGACCGGGGAGGGGTGGACGAGGGCTGAGGTCTAAGGAAGCAGGGAGAGCAGGGGTGCCATCTTTGACATCCTCCATGAAATCTTTGTGGATGAAAACTGGACCCAAGAAAATAACTGTTCCCATAGAACTGACCGACAGAGCAGACGGCAAAGTAAGAAAAAAAAATTGGTCGTTATTTGAAATCAGAGGGGGATCCTGTCTGTCTGTGAGCCTAATACAGCGTGTGAACTGTGGTCAGCAGCAGGTGGACATTCATGCTGAGATGTTTGAAAATGCCTTGAAATTAGCGCCCAGCATTCAATACTCAGATCTCCCCCCACACAGACATACGTGTGAGCTTTTTTTTTTAATGTCTCTCAGAGCAACACAGGGGTCATTTATTCCCAGCCAGTGGAAATGGAATTGAGTTGATGAGGTGTAGGTCTCCTGTCTTCCCTGTATGTGGATGACCATAGTTTGCATTTGTCTTGCTAACTTCCTGGCCACCGTAAGCAGCTCACTTTGGAATCCCTGATGAAAGCTGTTCTCAATCTTGCCTTTCATTCTCTCATCCCTGCCCCCTTGAACACAGAGCTGGTGGGTATAATGCCTCCTGAGCATTTGCTTTGGAGCTGTGCTTACCTTGTACGGTCCAGGAGTGTTTTCTGAGCTGATGTTTTCTTTAGTAACAGAAACAGAACCCAGAGGTGAGATGCACCAGTGCCCTCTGAGGGGGGACACTCGCTCCTGGGGCTAGTGGTACCTACTGCACTGATACTCTGGAATCATGTCTTGCACAGAAGTTCTGTTGAATCCAGGATTATCTCACAGTGGGCCTAGCCACTGCGGTCCTCCTCAGGCAGGTGCCCTGAGGTTGATCCACCCACTCATTCCTGGAGAGCTTGATTTAGCCTCACAGTACAGCTCCGTCCTCTCCTCTGGCCCACCTGTTACTGCTTCAGTGGGTGCATCAGCATGCATTTGTTTCAGGCTAAATTCTTTTTTCTCTATTATCACCACTAGGATTATATTTATCACGTAGTGAGTGCGATCTGTGAATGGACGGTGGCCTTTGGTTTTATTTTCTACTTCCTAACATTCATCCAAGACTTCCAGGTGGGTATTGATCAAATAATGTTACACATTGCTGAGAGTTGGTGCTCATCAAAACCCAAAGAAAAGTTCTTACAAATAAGAGCACTCTCTTTTCTTCTCACTCTTTTTATTGTTTCTTTTTACCCTTATGCATCTGAAAAAAATATATCTCTTGTGCAACTTTGTTTTTTCTTGAAGGGAAACCTCTTTCGTGGCTCTCCCAGCCAGTGTCTGTCCTCCTTGTCTCTCCTCTGCCTCTAGAGGTTTACAGTCAGATCCTGGTGGTTTTCTTGTGGAGGTGGGCTCAGGCTTCCAAATAATAGGAAATATATCTTTTTAAGAAATAAAAGTGTGGTGTTGAAAAACGTTCCCGGCAGAGAGAAGGTGGAATCTTATCAGATTTGGCAACTGGGAAAATCTTACATTTGGAAGCCAGAGAATTATTAACCAAAAGGATATAGGAAGCCAAGAAAATTCTGTAGGCCCCCACTCAAGAGCCACATAAGTTTCAGTGAGATCACCCTTCGGGCAGAACTCCTAGGAGTTCCATAGCTGGCACCGGGATTGTTTGCCTTCTTTTCAATCTTTCTTTTTTTTTTTTCAATTTTTTTTTTTTTAAGAGTGTCACCCTAAGGATATCCACAGAAATCAACGATGATATTTGAAGAAGGAAGAATTCTATCTCTGGCAGTGAAAGTCACAGACAATCTCTCCCCATGGCACAGAGGACAGGTGGGGTTTTAGCATTGCCCCACCTGGAATGCACCTGTGACCCATCCAGGACTTGAATTTCCTTAAGAATTCCCAATAGGTGTACTATTTTCCAAAGGTATGTTTTCCTAGAGAATGCAGCAAGCTTATGACAGTGTATCAATGCTTTTATAATTTTTTAAGTAGACACTTTTTTATGGTTCACAAAATTCATGACTAAGGTGTCATGGAAAATGGAGTGCTCTTATTTTTGTACTGATTCCGTTTTAGTTTCTCTTTGTATGTGCATGATTATGAAAACACACTAAATGAGAACTTCGTTAAAAAGTAAAATCAAGGGCTATCTTAACATTTAACCTGTAGAGAATGATCTGTATAATTTTATATCATGAGGACAGCAATAATATTCACTTTATAATAATCAAAAAGGTTTAGGTTATAAATTAACACTAAGTAAGGTATTCTGATTTTTAGATGAACTAAGCAAAATGCTTCCATGGAAAAGGCCTTAGTTCCACTGTGCACCTTTATGAACACAAGAGACCTCAGTTTTGAAATTCCGCCCTCCTTGGGCTCCTGCCTCCCAGTGACAGCTACCACCCTTGCAGCTAAGAGGAGTCTGCAGGGGTCTGGTAGGAGAATGCCAAGTGGGATGGATTCAGCAGGCCAGTTAGAAATCAAAAGCCTTATAACAGCAGTGAAAAAAGGGAGGCGAGTGGCTAACAGGGAGATCTCACTGGATTCAGGTGGTCTTTGGCTCTCGGGAGCATTCACGGGAGGCAGGAGGATGGAAGGGGAACCTTGACTTAATACTAAACCTCTGTGAAAGCCATCCTGTGAAAAGCATTAAAATCCCATTGATGAAAGCACCCTTTATTGTTACTGGCATCACTTGATACACAGTCTGACTCAGATGTTGAAACTCGCATCTCAGATTCATTTTATGCCAGTAAACATGTGGACGAGAACATAGGTCAGAGAGAAAGAGAGAGAGAGAGAGGGCAAGAGAGAGAGGAAGAGATAGAGGAAGAGAGAGGAGTAGGAGGTGCAGGGAGAAGCCGATTCGCCCCTCCTTTTAGTGCCCAGCTGCTGTCTGCACACTGACTGCCGCTGAACGGCAGGTCCTTTGTTAAGTGAGCTCTGGGCACCTTTTCACCCAAATCACGCATGACAAATGAAAAGTAGGTCATTCCAGAAGAAGGGGGCCTTGAATGCCAAGGCTTAGATCAGAAAGTTGAAGAGAAGGAACTTTCCTTCAAGGAGCCTCCAGACCACAGCTGTATCTGGGCCACAGAGACCCGACCTTGATGGCCTGTGGCAAGGGCAGAGTAGCCCCTGGGACAGCCTTGAGGCACTCTCGGGGTGAGCACATGATGGCTCCTCATAACTACTTGTTGAGTGAGTGAAGGAGTGAGAGTCGCAGCAGGCAGCCACCTGTGCAGTGACCGGCTGCCCTAAGTGTCCAGCAGCAAGGGCCTGATAGCCACTTCTGGGTCAGTGTTTGTTACTCCAAAGAGAAGGAGGAACAACATCCTACCCTTTCCATGGAATCTGTGGTAGGATGAACAGGTGTCATGGTCCTCACATCTCCTGATGCGACACCCTGCTCCATTGCTGCCCCTCTGGGGAGACTAGATTGGGAGCTCCTTGAGGGCAGAGCTCGTGCCTCGATCTTTATCTTTGTGACTCTAATACTTAACAGGGTATTTCCTGATTCACAGTCGGTGCTTAATAAATACTCATTGAATGCCTGAATGAATGAATGCACAAATAAAGAAATGACTAGAGATCTTTGTGGTGCTGCATAATGAGATTTACTCTGCTTTACTAGTTAAGTGATAAACCAAGAGTCCTTATCACCCAGTAATGTTCACTGTTTTGCTTTGTGTACTGTAAATATTTCAGTTGTTTGGGCTTCACCATTCTAAGACAACTCTCTTCAACCTGGACAGTTAACCACAGAAATTGTTACATGGGCTAGACAAAATGGGACACCTGGCTTGGCAAACGGAGAAGGCCAAGAGTCACTCCAGACAGTCACATTCTGCTGATTCTATGCAACCTCTAAAGCTGGGCTTATCCACATTTTACTGCTACTTCTCATTTCCATGAACTTGGCATTTCCTTGGATCTCAAGGCTGAAAGAATAAAGTGAAATATTTCTGTATTTTAGTCATCTGTGTGTCTGTTATATATGCTGATTGGGTACCATTGTGGCATGTATTGATCTGGGAAACAATTGTAGTTCCACTTGGACTTTATAAATGTACAATTGAAACCTTATGTTTCCTGAATTCAGGTGACTACCTGTGAGCACTGTGGCCCATCTTTGTAGAGATTCTTGAATCTTAAGACATTAGTAATAGAAGTTTGCATCTGTCAAGACTCTTAAGAGTTGGAGGCACCAGAAAGCATCTCACATTTGTTGAAGGAATAAAGGGGGGCTGGCAGACTCAAGCTGGTTTTCGGGATGGATGGATCCAGAAATGCCACCTGGTCTCCATCTATTCTCTCCTCCTCTTAGCTCTGTTTTGCTCTCTCTTGGCCTCATTCTTGGGCCTCATTCTCATTTTCCGTGGGCGAGAGGGAGATGCTTTTAGATACCGCAGGCCCGCAACCTGTCCGATGGAAAGAGAAGACTTCCCAGGAGCTCTGGCCAAAGCCCATAAATTGAACTCAGTGTCTCTAACTGGCTGCCGTGGGTCCCATGTCCATCCTGTAGTTCTGTTTGGTGGGGTGCCCAATTAGTCAGGCCTGAGCCCACCTCTGGAGCAGGGTCCGGTCAGCACTGTCCAAACTCCTGGCCCCATCATGACTACAAGTTGTTTCTCTGAAGAAATGGATAAGTGGATCTTGGCCAGACACAAAGCAGCTGATTCCACCATGGAATTAAAGTTTTCCCCAGGCCCCTACCCAGAAAAGCCAACTGCTCGCAGAGTAAATCAACTTATACTTGCTGACACTTCTTTTTGGGTTTAAAAAAAAAGCAAGCAAGAACAGGCCATTTAGATAATAAAAATGCCTTCAGTTTACTTCAAAATTGTGTTTATACTTTTTCAAGGTTCTTATGTCTTACTTGGCCTCTGAGGTTGATTAGACAGTTATTTTTCACCGAGATGGGGAAACCAAGGCAAAGAGATGTTCAGTGGCTCCCAAGAGGTCAGATTCCAGTCTGGGACGCTTGTTGTTCTGATTTCTAATCAAGTGTGTCTTAACAAACAAAAATAAAAAACAAAAACACAACATTAACACACAGGATTCCATAGAAATTGCATTTCATAAACCAAATTAAGTACATCAGTGTGGTGCTGTGCTTGGGTTTCCTAACATCCCTTACATGTGGCCTTGCCCCATGTTCCCATTTGTTACTCAGTTGGAGACATACTGGTCTGGTGTTTGGATCTGGAATGAGGAAGGAGGAGCAGGAGGGAGATAAGTGGTATCCCATTCTCTCCCACTCCGGGATTCTGGCAAGCCAGCAAGCCCAGCCGTCTCCCCACACACATATTCTTGGTCTGGCTCTCGATGCCCGCATTCTCCGGGCCAGAATGTCATGCGTCTGCGTCCCGTCTGTTGCACAAGAGCGCAACCACAGCCTCGAGCCCTGGATGAGAAGTTTCTGACTCTCCTTGGCCACCCCCAGCAGATTCATCTTGTAAAATGAAGGGCAGCAGGATGCCAAACTCACACTGGGATTGGCAGTGACCTTCCAAATTGGTGCTTAGAAAATGCTGAAGGAGATACCAACAGTCCTCTTAGGGGTTCAAACCGGGGCACCTAGAGATGCCTGATAAACCTGCCACCCCCCAAAACACCCCCACCTTTGGACTCATCAGCTCCATGAGTTGATGGAATGTCTAACTTCAAAAAATTTGAGCTGGAGTTCTGATGCCGAATACCTCGAAGAGTCCTGAATGAGTCCAGTACCCGAGTTCTCCTAAGTGCAATACAGTAAACTGCTGTTATCTGGATTCACCCTGCTGGTAAGTGGGGCTCCAGCTGCTCCTACTCAGAGCCCTTACTCCCTGCAACATTTGTTCTTAATTAAACATTTTTTAATCCATCATAGTTATGTAAAAAGGTACTGTGTATAAAGGTCTCTTACTCAGTTCACTCCTGTCTTGCAGATGTCCACATTTTATCAGATTTGTAATGAAAATACGAGCAGAGACAAAATGTTAAAATGTCTCCCTTTTCATGTCTGCCCCAACTGGAGCACACTGTACAAATAGTTCCTCCCTGCCCCCCCCCTTTTTTTTTTGACAAAATGATGTATTCTGGAGATGTTTCCCTGTATATGCAAACGCTTTCTCATTTTGACTTTTTTTTTCTGCTTTACACCTGTACCCTATTCCCTCTTGCAGCTGTGCCCCCACTCACTGAGCCAGAGCTCAGTTTTCTTTCTTTCTTTTTTTTTAAAGATTCAAGCATATACTCTTTTTTTTTTTTTTTTAAAGATTTATTTATTTATTTATTTATTTATTTATACATGCACTGGGTACAGTCAGAAGCTCGGGAGGGTGAGAGAATCCACCAGAGCCAGAGCGGGGAGCAGAGCAGGCAGAAGGACCGAAGTACACTGCTGAGGGGAGCAGCGGGTGGCAGGAGAGGTCTGCGCGCCATGTGGGACCCTCCTCTGGTGGCCGGGGAGCAGCCGGAGATTGAACTGGCGCTGCAGAGGCTGCGGGCAGCCTTGCAACCCAGCGCTCAACTGCTGTGCCACCGGGGAGGCCCAAGCTCGACCCATTCCAAGGGATTGCCTCCTGCACACGCCATTTCATACACATGCTTAGAAATTCCCCAAAGTGGGAAGGCTGGACAAAATGGCCACTGTGGCTGTAGCTTGACAGATACTGTCACCTTGGTTGTAGAACCTTTTTCCTTGAACATTTCACTGGAAAGCTTTCCAGTCTCTTCCCATTTCATTGCATATGGAGATCCTGATTAGAGGGTCACCTTATCTTGGACACTCAATCATTTGTCTGCGGCGCAGAGGTGGCCTCTGCTGTAGATGGTGTAGGGCTGACTGTGTCCCCACCTTCTTCTTCTGTCCCTCTTTAAAACAAACAGCCAGGACAGGAAGGGAAAGGCTGTTTAAACCCCCCTTCCTGGGCCTCCCTGGTGGCTGTTGAGCGCCACGCTGTGAAGCTGTCCGCAGCCTCTGCAGCGCGGGTTCGATCCCCTCCGGCCGGAGAGAATCCCACGTGGCAAAGCAGACCTCTCCTGTCTTGCCCGCTGCTCCCCTCAGCAGTGTATTTTTTCAGTCTGCCTGTTCTGTTCCCCGCTCTGTCTCTGGTGAATCCTCTTACCCTCCCGCACATCTGGCCTGTACCCCGGTTTTTGTATAAATAAATCTTTAAAAAAAATAATAAACCCCCCTCCTTATCTTTTGAGAATTTTCTTCTTTTATTTTGTCAGCCACAAAACTCCCCTTCCTGCAAACTGACCCAATATGGAACAACTGGGGGTGTTTGATGACACCCTCTTTTGTACCCCCCCCATGTTGGAGCTTAGAGGTCAGGGCAGAATGACCCAGTGAGTGGGGGACACTAGCACTACACAGCCACAGAGAGAGGACACTCCTGCTCTGAGAAACCTAAAAATTGTATTTAGAAGAAGTAGGCTTTAATATCACTTAAATGCACATTTTATGCTTTTTATAGATTAATCAATTTTACTTTTTTTTTTCTTTATTGAGGTTAACATTGGTCTGTATATGATTTAGGGGAATAGGTTCCCACCTCCTCAGATGGATGTGCCATATCACACCCACCTTCATGGCACCCCCAGTCCTTTACCCCACGGGCCCCTTCCCTGGCTTTGTTTCCACCCTAACCTTTCCTCCCCCTCTCGAAGCCTCAATTCTGCAGTCATCATTTAGGGCTTGATAATAAACTTTACTTTTTAGAGCAGTTTCAGGTTCATAGCAAAATTGAGTAGAAAGTACAGAGTCCTCATGCTCTTCCCCCCAACCCCCCGCCAACGTGCCCCAGATACCTTACCATCAGTGAGTCTCCATTGGCCTTTGTCATCACCCACTCCCTTAGTGTCCATTAGGGTTCGCTCTTGGTCTCGTTCATTCTAAGGCTTTTGACAAATATAGAATGACATGCATCCACTATTAGAGTGTTACACAGAGGAGTTTTATTGCCCTAAAAATCCTTTTGTCATTTTGAAAAAGAGAATCGTAGTTGGAGTTGCTTTTTTTAGTTCCAGATAGTCAGGGACATTAACCTAATCACCAAGGACATTTTCTGCTTGCGTTAAGGCTCAGGTTCAGTATCATTGAGCACTAACTGAAGACACTCTGAGAGGTGATTTCCTCATAGTCTACCCTATTTTACTTATGAGGAAATTAAGCTTCCAACTAAGGGGGCTAGGATCAAACCCAACACTGATTTCCACAGTCAACCTTTTCCAAGAGGACAACGTGATTATCACCCATTATCATGTGAGTACGAATTAATTTGTTAGTTTTTCTAGGCCCAAGGAACAAAATCCTTAAACTGGCTAGTTCAAAAAAATGGGTGAGACATCTGGGGGATGGTTTTAAGAGAACAAGTCCTGGTTCAACTCCGTGCTTCTAAGGCTTGGGGCCTAAGGTAATCGGAAGAAAAGCATCCTAGTGAGGGCTGATATGCCACACTGGCTATATGGAGAGATATGGAGACAAGCTCTCTCCCCTCAGGCCTGGTTCCAGAGGAGAGCACAGCAAAAGCCTAGATTGCACTGGGCAGTGAGGCTGAGGTGGGAAGCTTTGGGTATGGTTAATACTCAGGTAGCAGTGAGCTGTGGTTTCTTAGGACTCTGCACCCTTTGCTTCTGGTTGATGCAGTAAGAAGTACTCAGGGCCATCTTCTGTTTGGAAAGAAATATCTGCTCTCTACCTCCCAAGGGAAGTCCTGGTGGGGGCCAGAGGGAAGACCATTTACGCAGCACTGGACCTTGGTTCTCCCAACCTCCAGCAGCAGCGGGGAGCGGTGAAAGGCTCAGGTCTCAGACTCTGGAATACCAGCTCTTGCTCATCAGGCTAACATTAGCCTGACAGACAGGCATGCCCAGAAGATCCATTTCACCTTCCTGAACCATCCTTTTGCTCCAGGTCAGCCCAGAGTAGCAAGTGCTGGGTACCACCCCAAACATTTGATTTAAGGTGAAGAGAGATGTATTTAGAATGGGCCAGTGATTTGACAGCTGCTAACATAACCTTTAACACGTGTATTGAAATGAATACTGAGTTTAGTTCAGTCTGTCATTTCCTCTTAATACTTGAAAAGCCACAGTTGTTTGAAAGTGCCTTCAAAAGGCTCTAGTGGGTAAGTTTATTCTTCCGCTTGAATGCACTTGGAGCCCTTAAGTGAGAGCCACCTTGAAATTGAAACTGGGAAAATCCCAGGTGTCTCTGGCCAAGAGAAGTAGGTATGTTCTGAGGTTTATTAAATAATTACCTGGTTGTTGACATGCTGTGGGAGGGAGGGAGAAAGCTGAGGTGTTGGCAAGCATGAATTGAGATTAGTAATTGGGTCATGTGGCTCGTTATACATAAGGTAGAGCCTGTGGAGCCCAGGCCTCTGGCTCAAGTCAGGCGAGGGGATTGAGTCTTCCCACTCAATTAACCAGGTCTCAGTGTGGTCTAGACTAAATGGCCATAGTCAACTGTGATCCAGTTGATCCTGCAAATACTCCAATGTCGGTTGCTTTGGACCAGATGCAGCAATATCCTGAAGAGAAGAAAATGGGAAGAGAGAATCAAACACAGAATTCACGGGTCATTTTGACTTCCCACCTGCAGTTGGTCTGAATGGCAGATGAGCACTGGTTTCTGAAGCAAGTGGGGTTGTGTGCTCAGCCCGTCAAAATGGCCCTGAATCGTCTCCCCTCTCTTTGTTTCTACCATCACCACCTTAGGACAGGCCCTCATAATTACTTGCTTGGACTAAGGCACTAGCTCACTATTGCTGCCTTGATTTCCTTCTCTGACACCTCTTCCACACTGCACAAACACATTTGATAGGTCACCTTCTTAAAAATCCTTCAGTGGCTCGCCTCAGGATTAATTTCAGATTCTGCAAGATGGCTTTTGAGACTCTTCAACAAAGGTTTCCCTGGTGGCTCAAGGGGTTAAGTCCCAGCACTATGAGGCTATTGGCAGCCACTGCAGCATGAGTTCAGTCCCCGGCCAGGGAGCTGACCCACATGGCACAGCAGACCTCTCCTGTCTCACCTGCTGCTCCCCTCAGTGTGTATTTTAATAGATCTGCCTTTCCTGCTCTGCACTCTGTCTCTGGTGAGTCCTCTCACCCCCTCCCCACCCCCCCTTCTGGGCTACACCCCAGTTCTTGTATGCATAAATAAAATAAATCTTTAAAAAAAGACTCTTCTGAACAGATGTGCTTCTTTTTCCTCCTTTAAACCTAGGAGATTATTACTCATTCGACATGCAGTGAGTGTTACTCTGGGCCAAGCACAGTGCCCTTCCAAGCCAGAGCTCTGCCTTGCCCCTTTCACCTCTGTTTTGACTTTCGCAGGGATTTCAATGCTGCTTGTCCCTGAGGATCACCTGGGGAACTTTGTAAAACCCCAGTGCCCTGGGCAATTCAATCAACTTCAGGAAACCAGAGAGAAGCATCATTTTTCCCAGTGACTCCAACGTGCAGCCAAGGCTGAGAAACACTAGCAGTGGCTCACAGTGTTACTGTGAATGAGAATCAACGGCAGGCTGGCAGGCTCATTAACATACAATTGCTGGGCCTCACACTTCAAGTTCCGTCTCTAGAGCATAGTCCTTGGGGTCCGTGATTTATGTAGAAACTCCTCCCTTTTGCTAGGGGTCTGTAATTGTTCAAGCACCCCTCACCTCTTCCAGGCCTGCTGCTCTCCTGACTTTTTTCTTGAAAACATTTGCCAACAGCCTTCTTCATAGCAGTGGTGAGAAGATTCTCCAATGTTCTGGCTTGAGACACATTTGCCCTGCCACACAATTCCCCCTACACTTCTGAATTTAGAGCCCCTATTCTTTGATTTTCTCCCACTTTTTCTTCTGATTCCCCCGGATCAGAAGTAGCAGTCCCATGTGAGACCATCATAACCTTTTCCTTGGCTCCCTATTTTGATTCCTTAAAAGGGCACAGTCTTAGGAGGGAGGCAGCTGTGAGTTACCAAGCTGTACTTGGGCAATTCACTCAAACTCACCTCATGTTCCTCACTGGGAACTCAGGGGTGATGATAATACTACCCTTTAATAATACATCCCTGACACAGTACTCACTGTGAGTTAGTATAGTCCTCGGGCAAACCATGCACATGGTGGGCAGGTTCACTGTTGACTTGGGCAATTGATAAAGGATCTTGGAGCCCTCAGTAGATTTGACAGAGCTTTAATGTTGAAGCAGGGAACTATGTACACAGGTAGACCAGCAGGCAGGGAGACTTAGAGGCAGGCAGCAACAGAGCCTTCCAGACTCCTAGACTCCAGCATCCATGATCTCTGCTCTCTCTCTCTGGTCTCTTTCCCTAGTAATGATCTCCATGCTCTCTCCACTGGGATGTCAGTACTTACAGGTACTCATGTCCAGTGCTTTCTTGCTTCTTGGCCTGGTGTTCACAATCAAAGGTGCATGTGCCTTGTGCTCTTGCTCCCAAGCACTTTTTGCAGTAACACATTATCACGCATGGCTAATGAAACCTGGGAGGAAAGCAAGATCACAAGTGGCAGCTACAGAGGCTAGTGGCAGGAGGCAAAAAAAAGAACCTGAGTCACTCCATTTTCCCCTAAAATAGCGTTTCACCTTGAAGAACATGAAACATTCTTAACCTGTAAAATCTTTACCTTGAAGAGAACTTCAGGATGGTGGGACTAACTCATGGGGTGCAAAGAGCAGAGGCACAGATATCAAAACCACAAAAGGGAGGAATAAAGCCAGGATTTACCCAGAAACAAGGAAATGGTCCCAACCTGGGATTTTCTAGGAGGTCTCGGCAGACAGGGAGGTGATAGGTGAGATCTGATGAAGGGAAGTGACCAAGAGGGTCCTGATTGCATTTGAAACTTGGCCTATGGGTTTGTGCATGCACAGACAGGGTGAGTGATGCAATGACCTCAGAGGAAATCCACAAAGGGATTTCAACCCTATCACTGTGGAATTCAGTCCCTTTGACCAGAAACAAAGTGATAAAAAAACCTGTTAGAGTTTGCACCATTTATTACAGTTGAGCATAAAACCATGGCCGTGGGGTGTTACACAGAGCTCTCACTACAGATAAGGCCTCTGAGTGCTGTTTCCCATCCATGATGTTATTTAGCAGGATGGCTCACATGTTGAAATTTGAAACTCCTTGGGTGAAGAATCCTTCAGCAGGCTGTAGCAGATGTTGCTTGTGTAGCTCCCCAAGCCCAGAAAGATGAGTTAATCCTTGAAGGAAATTATTCTGAACTTGCATCAAACTCAGAGGCTTTGATCCAATAGGCCCTGGCAATTAAAAACAAGGATATCAGAAAAGCTGTGGGTGGTAGTCCTGTCTCTGAGAAAAAAACAGGGCCACTGGCCTGTGTTCAGAAGGCCTCACTCAGAGCGATGTTGTGAAAATCCTCTACTCTAAACACATGGAGTCATAAACAAAAACTTGCTCACCCATTAAAGACCCTGCAGAAGTATCACCCTCTCCAAGATGCTTCCTCAAAATGTTCCAGGCCTCACCAGCCCCACCTACCTTCTTCTACTCTCATCATCCATAGTCTATAGCTTGCCATTCCATTACTCCCCAAATACAGTCTTTCTCAGTCACGTGGTAAGTTCCTAATCAGGAATATTTTATATTTCTTTGTGTCTCTGAATGCCTAGCACTCTAAGGGACACCATGGACCAGTGACTAACTGGGGTCCACACTTTCTGAACTTCAAATCCAGGCACCTGGCCCAGCGCATATGAGGAAATTTAAGGGAACAATGTCACAGATTGATGTTGCGTGATCTGCTCAACTCCACTGGTGGCCTTATTTGTAGGACAAATGTTGAGCATCAAACTCATCTCCAGACAGGCTGGTTTACTTATGCCATCCAAAGAGCCCAGGTGGTTTCTCTTTAACCCTAAAATTTGGCATAATATCTGGCACTTAGCAAACACCCAATAAGCAAATAGGTACATTGGTCAATGACTGGAATTATTGGTTGAAAGCTAAGTTGAGTTGGCATAAAAATCTAACAGGGAAGCTGTAACAGGCAACTCAGTACCTCTCCCCACTTTTTATTCAGTACCTCTCCCCTCCCACCTTTTCCAGAAGTCTCATTGTTGTGGTTCCCACAGGTACCACCATGTTGTTTCATGACTGGAGTTTACCGGAGTCAAACCATTGAAACTTCAATGACTCCTTCCCTAGGATTGTTCAGCTTGGAACTGGAGAAAATATTAGCTTACATAGATGTACTGGTAAATTTGTGAGCTATTGGCACCCTATTTTTCACCACATGGAGAAAAGTGATTGTTAGTTAGAATAAAGAATACAACTAATGAAGAGAGTGAATGGAGGCACAGAGACCAGAAAAATAAAAGGGGGCCCAGATGATCTTGGAGTTCCTGGTTCCAATTGTTCCTCTGCCCCAGGCACATTCCTGACTTGGGTTTTCAAGCCATCACATTATGCCTTATAATAACCCCTTTTTTGGCTTAAATGAATTTGAGTTGGGTCTCTGTCACTTGTAACCACACAAGTCCTCACTAATACAGAAGTGCTTGCTTCATGGAAGACACAATAAAAAAAAAAAAAAGAATGGATGAAGAAAATCTCATTAGGCCAAGTTATGAAGTTTTGTAAACAGGAATTTTTCAAAACTTCCCATCCTTATTTGTGGTTAAAAAAAATACCTCTTTGATATTCCTCCCAGAGCTAGCTCAATACTGAAGATAGAGGAGGCGCATGGCATCCATGGAAGCACGAGTTTCTGGTAGGATGATTCTTTACTTTTTTTCTTTTTTCTTTTTGTAAAATAGCTGGTTTTTTTTTAAAAGATGTATTTATTTATATAAGAACTGGGGTACAGGCCAGAGGCGCAGGAGGGTGAGAGGATTCACCAGAGAGAGAGTGGGGAACAGAACAGGCAGATGGACTGAAAACACTGCTGAGGGGAGCAGCGGGCAAGACAGGAGAGGTCTGCCGTGCCATGTGTGTATCTTCCTGGCCAGCTGGCAATCAAACCTGCGTTGCAAAGGCTGAGGACAGCTTCATAGCCCTGTGCTCAACCCACTGTGCCACTGGGGAGGCCCTGATTCTTTACTTTTCATTTTCAATGATTTTTTAATTGTTATTTGCTTAGAATCTCTGAGGCTTGGGGCTGCCTGCTGTGCATGGTAGGAAACGTTCTAGATAGCCTGGTTTACTTATGCCACCCAAAGAGCACATGTGGGTTTTATACTTGGCACATTTGCTCACAAAATTGCTGGTGCCAGATACCTCCCCCTCTGTTACTTCACCTCCTTCCATTCATATCAAACTCATTCCTCAGTGCTAACTCTTCTAGAAACAATAATCCTATCTGAGCTGCTACACATAGCATTTCATTGTACATGTCTCATCACCTCATGTCTATGCTTGCTCCCTGTTCTGGAAAACATCACTATTGATACTGGAGCTCTCTCCCTCTGAGGTAGGCAAGAACCCCAGAATTATTCTCAACAGGGCACTTGAAACAGTTACCAAGGTCTCACTGGTGTTGGCAAGTGATATGAAACTAGTTGTTATCTCAGACCCATTTACTCAGATTGTCATTGAAGTTTCTAAGCGTGTCTTAGAAACTTGTCTTCTTTTTCTAGCTGGACTCTTAAATCCTTGAGAATAACAACCATAATAATAATACCCAGAACAACTCTCCTAATAGCAATCATATTATCAATAATAGCAGAAATTGCAACAATAGCAGCATTGATTATTCCAATGTGCTGGCACAGTACTAGCCATTTAAGATGTATTTTGTAATTAAGTACTCAAAACAATCCCTTGAGAAGGTATTGGTATTATCCTCATGTCATAGATGGGGAGTCTGCATCATACATTCATCTAGTGAATTGAATTTTAAAGTATAAAATGTATATATTTAAGGCATACAACATGATAATTTGATACAAATAGATGAAATAATTACTATTCAAGTTAATACATCTTCTCCTCTCACAATTACCATTTTATTTTTGTGATGATGAGAGCATCTGAAATTGGCTCTCAGCAAACTACCAGTATTCAACAGAGTATTAACTAGAGTCATCAAGCGCTAGACTGACTCAACCTACACAACTGCCAAGTTGGACTTTGTGCTCAGTCTATTCCCATCGCTCTCACCTTCCCACCTCTGGTCAATCTTTCTACCCTTTGCTTTTATGTATTCAGTTTTGTAAGATTCCACAGATAAGTGAGATCATGCAGTTTCTTTTTCTTTCCATGTCTGACTTATTTCACTTAGCATAATGTCTTCCAGGTTCACCCATGTTCTTGAAAGTGACAGGATCTCCTTCTTAAGGTTGAATAATATTCTGTTGTAGCTATACACCACAATTTCTTTATCATTCATCTGTCCATGGACATTTATGTTGTTTCAATTTCTCAAAACTTAAAAATGATAACTCATCCAAATAGACACAGCCAGAATATGGCGAAACCAGGAATTGATCCCCATATCTTTGCCTTTCCCCAATATGGCCTTATATCTCGCCCTTCTCTGTACTGTCTAACTAGCACAGAGTGGTGTGTAGAAAGAAGTATTGTTGAATAGAGACTTTTTATAAAGCAATGAAGTTCTTCATAAGAGACAGAGAGAAATTGAAATGCCAAAAGCAAATTCTCTCCCCTAAAGAGTTGGCACATACTTGAAGGGGGTATGCTTCACTATACCAATAATCTTGGCTGAAGGCAATGCTATTTCCCATTCCACAAATAAGCACAGTTTATAGAAACATAAATACAAAAGATCAACTCTAAGGGGAAAGGGGTGAAGAAGCAGCTCTGCAGCTTGGGATCCTCCTGACAGTCTTCCCAGTGACTGAGCAGCACCCAGCCACTGGAACCTTCCTGCACTCAGTTTCCAAACCCATAGAATGATTCACTTGGATTCAGTGAGCACTTCCCAAGTGTGTTGCCTGGAATATATGCCCTACAAGAAGCTCATAAGGAAAATGGTTCTGTTGTCAAATGCTATTAGAAAATTGCTTTTCTCATTGGGAGATACACAATCCATATTAAAGCCTCTGAGAAGTCCAGCAGGCAAGAACATGCTCGTTTAATGTTTACTTGATGCCTATTTAACTCAGACTTTCCTACATCCCTTGGTTTCCATAATAACTGCTATTATCTCTCACAAGTAATGCTCACATTTAGGTGAAAAACAGTTGGATAAATATTTCCTAAAGAGCCTCCCTTATATTTTCTAACTCTATAAACTGCCCCTCTGTGAAGGAAAGGTAGGATCACAATTTTGAATTTTTAAGATGTCTTTGTTAGAAAAGTTGAGAGGGTATGGAAGTGACTTGCCCCGTAACAGTTACACACTGCCCTGTGAGATTCCTGAAATGGACAATAGGGGGCAGTAGTGGACTGCAGGATTGGCCGCCTCTCCAGAAACTCTGCGAGAAAGGGCAAACCTGAGTTGTAGCAACAAGAGCAATCACTTTTCCAGCCCAATGGAAAGCTACTGAGGGCCAACTCCTCTCCCTTCTGGATCTCTCTCTTTCTCCCTCCCTCCCCTTTGGAGGAATTAGGGAGGTTGAATCAGAATAGACAACATTTGTGCATTTGCCTTTTACCTTTATAGACAGAAAATCAGTGAAAGCAACTCTTTTCAACGGCTTGTCATTGGTTGTGTTCACTTTGGGGCAGCTGCTTTTGATAATGGAAGTTCTGGGACTAAACAGAACTCATGAGTTGAAAAAGGAATTATTCTTTCCTTCATCTTTCACTTAAAAGGAAAAAAATATGTACAGGTGAAGAACACATTGTTAGGCTATAAACTCATTTTTCCCTTTAAACTTTGGATACAAGACTTCAATGATTAAGGCTTTTTCATGGTGTAGCAGGCCATAAGAAATTTGGGAGCAAGAGGCAGATGCCTACCTTTTTCTAATTTATCATCTCGTTGTCATTTTGCTGTGAAGCAGAACGAGGCAGGCAGGCCTCCCTGTTCAAGTCAACACAAGAGATTGGAGTCCCTGATTCTAAAGGCCCTGATTATTTTTTTTTTATAGATTCATATATTTATGTATACAAGAAGTAGGGTTCAGGCCAGAGGTGTGGAGGGTGAGAGGATTCACCAGAGACAGAGTGGGGAGCAGAACAGGCAGACGGACCAAAGACACTGCTGAGGGGAGCAGCAGGCGAGACAGGAGAGGTCTGCTGTGCCATGTAGGTAGCTCCATGGTCGGGGCTTGAACTCCTGCTGCAGTGGCTGCGGATAGCTTCACAGCGTTGTGCTTAATCCCTTGCACCACCAAGGAGGACCAAAAGGCCCTGATTATAAGGTGATATTCCTTCATTGCTAACGTCCTCTCTCTCCCATACTGTCCTTTTTTTTTTTTTTTAAAGATTTATTTATTTATATATGAACCGGGGTACAGGCCAGATGTGCGGGAGGATGAGAGGATTCATCAGAGACAGAGCGGGGAACAGAACAGGCAGACTGATGAAATGCACTGCTGAGAGAAGCAGTGGGTGAGGCAGGAGAGGTTTGCTGCGCCATGTGGGACCCTTGCTGGATGGCCGGGATCGAACTGGCGCTGCAGAGGCTGCGGACAGCTTCACAGTGTGGCGCTCAACCGCCTGTGCCACCAGGGGAGGCCCCCATACTGTCCCTTTACAGAGCCCTCTACTTAGAAAAAACAAACTAACATAATTTTAACATTTCTAAGAGAAACACCAGATGATTTCACTCATATGTGGAATATAAAAAGACCAAAAAAAAAAAAAAAGGAACAAAACTAAACCAAACAAACCATAGAAATCTGTAGAATAGAAGCTAGCCGAGGACAGTGATGGGTAACTGGGAGAGGGGAGGCCCCTGGACTGTGGCAGAGGATCCTGGGTGCTTTGGTGTGGGTGTGAGGTGGTGATATGCATCGGAGGAGGTGTGAATCTATTCTCCTTAATCACATACAGCATTGTTTATAATGCCACCTCAATAAAATAACAATGCCAAAACAAAAACAAAAACAAAAACACCAAAAGCTACATAAATACAATCTAGGATTATAACCCACAGGAACTAATGGGAGACAGAAATCACTTACTACAAAGAGAAATTCTCTACATTCTGGCTGAGAGAAACTTTGAGCTTGGAGGGTCTTCAGCATTCACCTAACCTCATCTCACTGTGTACACACGAAGACAGGAGTCCCCTGGCCACCCCAGAGGTGCCAACTTGGCTGGTACCCAGAGCTTCTGGCCACCTCCTCTTCTCATTGCCTCGTTTTGGAACCCAGCCCCAGGCCCTTAGGAGATCTCTGGTCTCCTCTAGGTTGCAAGGTGCATGAGCATAGCACAGGCCCAGGGATTCTGCTGTGGGGGGCCTCAGATGGCCCTATTCTGCTCCCAATGAGATGGTGGAGAAAATGGAATGTGGAAATGGAATGTGAGGCCCCAAGCAAATCTCTGGTCACCTGCCTAATTTCTGATCCATCTTTCCCACTCACCTCTCTCAGAAAATACTGCTGAGAAGATTCAGAAGTTAGAAATGAAGTTGCTTCTGCCCTTTGGAAAGTTTCTAGTGCCTGAAAATTCCAGGAAGTACTGACTCAGAGTCAGCAACGAGGAGAAGATTCTGAGAAAAGGATGAAAACACCTCCTCTGTTATTGGCCTTTTTCTTCAACCTCATAGTCACTCTCAGAGGCAGTAGTGCTGTGATTTTTTTAGGGTTGGGGGGGGGAAAGGGTGAGAGTGGTTAAGGACATTGGTCCCACATCACAGAACTCGTACACTAAGGAATTGAACTCAGTTCTGTTTCACTGCACAGAACATTTCTTTTTGTTCTCACTTCTTGTTTTCTCCTAAGAGGATGCTCAGTCTATATCCTCTTTGTGAAATTTTGTCCCCTTATACTTTCTTTCAATTTGCACATATAACAGGATTCTACAGTCACATTTGTTTGTGTCTTTCACAATCATTCAAGTGAGCAAGTTATCCCTAGCATCTAATTTAAAACTCCCCTCCACCCCCAGCAATGGAAGCCACTGGCCCTGCCCTGGGGGAACATGGAAAATGGCTACAACATTGCACTTAGCTGCTGCTTCCCAGTCCTGGTTCCAAACTGCTTCTGTTAAGAGAATTGCCAATTCAAAACACATGCTCTGTCTTGAAGCCTCACTCCAGCCCCAGACACTCAATTCTTGAGCCCCTTTTAGGTTGAGCCTGAACAATCACTTGGACTCTGGCTTGTTACCCAGTTTGCAATCAAGGTAGATGCAGGCTCTTCTCCCACATGCAGTCCTGAGCTGAGTCCTGATTGGATCTCCTCTCATCTTCTCCACCCTTCCAAGTACAGTTTAAGGCTAACATTTAAAAATTTTTATTAACCCAGCACTGATCTACATTAAGTGCCAGGTATATAGTAGCTTTATAATCCGACATCTATAGACACTATATCATGATCATCCTAAATCCAGTTTCCATCCATGGCTGTACAATGGGCCCCATTTTCATATTTCACCCACTCTCCGTCTTATCCCCCTCTAGTCATTACCAATCTGCTCATCACCATCACTTCTCTGTAGCTGAGTTTGCTTTATTTGTTTGCTTTGTTTCTATTTCACGTATAAGTGAAATCATATGGTCTTTGTCTTTCTCAGACTGACTTATTGCGCCTAACATAGTAGAGGGATAACATTTTATATGATCAAATAGACTACCTGCATCTGAGTAGTCAGGAACCAGAAGACAAAATTTCTTGCATAAAGAATTTGTGCACTGTTTTCTATACTTTACAAATAGAAAAAGCTAGCCAGGATATACCTCTGCAAAATCGCATGCATATAGGGCATGACTGAAAAATAGAATGCATGCAGTACAATATTTTGTTTTTAAGGGCAAGTGAAGGTTTGTGGAAAATGTAGGGAATTTGGAGGTCAGAGACCTGAGTTTGAATTCCTAACACAGTGATCCTTGGCGTGTTATTTAACTACTCTAAGAGCCCCTTTTCTTCTCGGTGGAATGCAAGTAAAAATAACAATTCATAGGGTTGTTGAAAAGATCTCTGCAAAATGCTCCATAAAAGCCTTAAACAGATTCTTAGTAGCAGCATTGCTATTGCTATAGCACTAAAAAGGCTACTTCTGATTTGATAGAAGAATAAACTTTAATCTTGCTTCTTTTGACCATACCTTTTTTTCTGGGTGTTCACCAGTGTTTTGCAACCATCCCAGGCCAGGTAGGTTCACCATGGGTTCTAGCGATTTGAAAGAGAATATTGGAAAACTTGAGATCATTTTCACAAGCTTTAATGGTAAGCAGGGGAAACAAGCCAGCAGGGAGACAGCAACTTGAGCCCCCCTGAGAATCTCCATACCTCTTCTCTGGCTCTCTCTGGTGTTCTCTTGTGGTCTTGTCCTCTTGTGATTACAGCTTGTCCTCTCATAGCCCTTCCGCCATAGCTGTTTTGAGTGATGCCGCCCTTACATCCCTGACCCCTAGGCTCAGGTGTGCACACTTGCACATGCGCACACACCATGCTTGGGTGTCCATAATCAGGTACGCATGCCCCACACCCACATGCCCTCCACGTTAACAAGATCAAGGCCGCAGGTGATAGCCACAGAACCCAATGGCTTAAAAGCCTGACCAACTTCATTACCCTACAGCCAGGTTTTACATATCGTAGGCTTCACATTTATAAGCTTGTTTCTAAAACCAGTCCTAAAAGGTTGATTCTGTCTTTAGGCTCCTCATTTTATAGTGGAGGCAAAGAAGTGATGCCAGTGATCTATAGCTCTGAGCTAATAAGTGATCAAAACTAATTGTCTAATTCCTGAATCCATATTCCTGAGCACTGTCTCAGTTGGGATTCATTTTGGATGTAACAGAAGGTTAAAATAACAGTGGCTTGAACTAGATTAAAGCTCATTTCTCCCTTATGTAGAAGTCCAGAGGTTGACAGTGTAAACTAGACCAGACACTCGGCTCCACACAATGCTCAGGGCTCTAGGCTTCCTGATTCCAGTGCCCTGATTTGGTAGTTTCCCCTTATCTGAGAGGGATACATTCCAAGATTCTCAGGAGATACCTGAAACTGCAGATAATACTAAACCCTATATGTGTGATATTTTTTTTCCCTGTACATACATACATACACATATATACATACATACATGATAGTTTATAAGTTAGGGATAGTAAGTGATTACCAGCAATACAATTACAACGATATACTGTAGTGAGAGTTGTATGAATTTGGAGTCTCTCTCTCAAAAAATTGTATGTAATATTTTTAGACCATGGTTGACTGATGGCAGTGGAAACAGATGGAAAATGAAACTGCTGGTGTGGACAGGGGTGACAACTGCATATAGTCTATTTCAACATCTAAAACAGATACTAGAGCTTCAGCCAGTTCATAGGTATTCTAAGCAGCAGGATGGAGGAGGGGGTAGGATAGAAAAGGACAAAACCATGCTGGTTAGTTATTGTGGACTATTCTTAGATGTGGCCTTATCACACTTTGTTTACATCCCATTGGTCATAGTACTTGAAGACTGGGAGATGGAGCCATTGTTCTGGATGACTTTGTCATCAGTTAAAAACTGGAGTATTTTATTACTGAAAGAAGTGGAGAGTTAGTCAGGGTCTTGCTGGATCTATGGAGGAGGAGCAGGAAATGAAGCTGGAGAGGTGGGTGTGGGCTCAGAGATGAGAGCTCACCACTCTAATCTTTGGGTTCATCTCCCATTTCATCAGGTATCAAGGGAAGGCAGGGCTATCCCCCGACAGCCACCAGTGATGGCCATTGACTGCAGTTTGTAGTAGGTAGTCCCGGAAAACAGCACCTGAGTGTTCTCCTTGTGATAGCCTAGAAGTTGGTTCTAGGCTGAAACCCATTAGCTTATTAGGTTAAACTGGGGGTGAATGGCTTCTGGTTTAGAGTCAGAGGGTAAGGTGGGGTAGAAGGACACCAGACCACAGGCCCTGAGGGGCCCTGAACGTCCAGAGAGAACTTGGACGCCACATGCTGGCAAGTACTTTCCATTCCCATAGGTGAGTTTGCTTGAAACACACACTGAGATGGTGATAAGGGTTGTTTTATCCCCTATTTTTCTCATGGGGAGAGAGGAAATCAGAATCCCCTGTGATGGTCAGTAGGATGAGGTAAGCGCTTAGAATCTGTGTTTTCTTTTCCTTTTTTTTTTTTTTTTTTTTTGTTTAGAGAAAGAAAAAAAAAATTATTAAGGAGAAAAGGAGCAGAAATAAAGTCTAGAATCTGTCTTCAAAAATGTGCCAGGTAATCCTTATGTTCAAATAACTTAGAGAAACATCACGCTCAGTGTTGAGTGATATGGTAGGATCAAATCCAGGGTGATAGACAACCAGGAGGCCATAAGCTCCATGATGACATTGCTTTATGCCTTTCATCATCACCCTTGTACCTGGCACATTGCAGTTACTCAATAACTATTTGGTGAATGAATGAATGAAGACAAGCTTATGTATCTCATGTTCTTGGTTCCTACTTCTAAAGCCATGGAATAATCCTAGGATGAGGTCACATTTTTTCATACTTTTCCATACTTAGCACCGTCAACAAGGTAGGAGAGTTTGTTCCTCTGTTTTAGAAGTACAAACTAATGCTGAGTGGCTCAAGTTTGCATTGATAGTAAGCTATAGAACTTAGATTCAAACCAGGCTCTCTAATAGACACTAACTATTTATTCCTTATCAGGAGACTTACCGTAGCTCAGACTGTTCCTGATGAAGCAGAAAAAGCCAATTCCATAGATATTTACTATAACAGCTGACCTAGTTCACGTCTGTGAAGTTTTGTCATTGCTCAGGCTGGGGTGCAGTTTGTTGAATTAGACAGCGGCCTGTTGAAACCAGAAGTGTCTGGACTCTTCTGTTCTTTCAAAAGAGGCATTGTTTCTTCAAGACCTTTAGCTGAAGCTGAATCTTAAAGAGATGTGAGATCCTGTCATGGAGAAATTACATCAAAAGGACCCCAAGTAGACCTGGAAGAGTAAAAGTGCTCTGTGGGGGCCCCCATCTAAAAACTCCTCTCTTTTCTGGCAATAAATTAAAAGGCCACCACCCCCTTCTGTATCTACCTCCTCTGCCTGGGTTGGGATGGTCTCTGTTCCTTCTTGTGTGGACATTCCTTTAGATATTTGGCCTTAACAGCCTTCATGTGTTTTCTTGTAGGTTTTCATCTGTTTTAGATGCAGGCAAGTTGGCCCCTCCACTGACTGACCACTGCAACCCCAGGGCACGGGGTTCAGTTAGTGGGCTTCATGAGAACTTTGCTTTTTCATTCAGCTACTTTTCCTGAAAGAAGAGTTGAAGACAGGACTACATGCTCCTTGGAGGCGAACAGTCAGGACTGAGTTTTGGATCCACACAGGTGATGAGTTTTGATGATACCACATGTCAACTCAGTGACTGACTGAAGCCAGATCCCCTGACATTTGATGGCAGTGAAGCTTTTTGAAAGGGTTGGCTATGAAAAAAAAGAGTGGATGTGGGATATGAGAATAATGGTGATGGTTGAAAGTCTATCTAGGGGGGCCTTTCTGGTGGTGCAAAGAGTTAAGATGCAACACTATGAAGCAATCCGCAGCCACTGCAGCATGAGTTTGATCCCTGGCCAGGGAGCTACCCACATGGTGCAGCAGACCTCTCCTGACTCACCCACTGCTCCCCTCAGCAGTGTGTTTCAGTAGATCCACCTGTTCTGCTCCCCACTCTGTCTCTGGTGAATCCTCTCACCCCCTGCACCTCTGATCTGTACCCCATCTCTTGTATGCATAAATAAATAAATCTTTAAAAAAAGAAAGCCTATACAGGAAGTGGTGTTCGTAGCCTGAATTTGTCTTTTTCTAACTCAAGAAAAATGTTGTCATTTTTTTTCTTGGTTACAGAAAAAAAAAACAAAATGTTTTATGTTTCCATAATCCCATATCTGATTTCTTAGACTTTTGACATTTATGTCATGCCTCTAATAGTTACACTGTTTGTCTTCTGAGATATCTGCTCATTCCTCTGGGAAAAGCATTTTGTAATACACACGGATACAGCCACCTCCCTTCATTTCCCCATCCCCACCCGCCACACCTAAGCTTCCCCAGATTGTAACTCATCAAGTAGAGGGAACTAGAGGACTGAGTTGTGCCCTCTGGTGGGGCTGGCAGGATATGACAGTGGGCAAGGCAATGGGGGCTTGAAGATTTGAGCAGGTCTACTATTGGATTATGCTAGGTGAAATGAGTCAGAAGGAAAATGAAAAATATCAGATGGTTTCACTTACATGTGGAATACAGGGAAATCGAACAAAGGGTTAGGAAAAAGACAAAATGTGCAAGCTGACCATAGCCCTGAGGCATACAGCAGGGGAGAAGGGAAAGGAGGGGTCACAACCAGTGGGAAGAGCACAAGGGACTATGGTGATGGTTCTGGGTGATGTGGTGGTGGGAGGTATTGAGCTTCCTGCCTTTAGTTCTATGGTGCACATACATGGGATTCACCTTAATATAGGAAAGTGAGGAAATAGTAACATGCACCTTCTGAATGTTGTATAAGAATTCTTAACTTTTAATACATGAAAGAAAAAGTCAATCTCAAATTGCAAAGAAATTTAAATTTAAACAAGGCATTTCCATTCAATCATCAAAGATGCTTTTAAAAGTCACACTCAAATGATGGTGACTGAGGGTGCAGTGAAATGGGTATGCATGTGTGCTTTTGTTGGATATATAAATAGGTATAGTTCTCTTGGCTCATAATTTAGAGGCTTAAATTTTGACTCAGTCATCTCCTTCCACCAAACTTTTATTAAAAAATAAGCTGCAACTTGGAGAAAAAAAAAACATACACAAAGATGTTCATGTTCATTTGTGTTATTTATGGTTTTATTTATAGTTATATATACATGTGTTGCTTAATGACAGGCCATTTGATTTTTGGTGACCCACTGGTGTGTGTGTGTGTGTGTGTGTATTTCCTCATGAGTAAGATTAAGTATGTCATGACCTGTTTTATAGTGATTTTGTCAGAAAGTAGGAAAAATAATTCATGAAAAGCATTTATCACAAACTTGGTATGTAGCAAATAATGACAGCATAAGAAATGTATGGTTGCTTTTATTATTATTTTTGAATATCATATCCTTGTCTGTCACAGTAAACTGAGCCAATATAAATTTGTTTTTGTGAAGCCTCAAAAAAAATTACTCCTTCCAGATAAAATTAAATATAGGCATGTGTACATGTTAACTCTTGCTGCATAAAAAAAGCACCCCAAAATGTAGTGGCATAACACACTCTCAAAATCTGTGGGTCGGCTGAAGTCTCTGCTCTGAACTGGCTCAGCTGGAGCTGGATGGTTGGAGATGGCTCACTTACACGTCTGGGACAGCTGGAACAGCCGGGGCAGCACAACCTTTCCCTCCATATGGTCTTTTATCCTCAAGATCAACTTTGAGCTGTTCTAAAAGCTTTAAGAGAGCAAGTCCATTTGTTTTTTCCACCACATTTCAAGCCTCTGCTTACATTACATTTGCTAATGTTCCATCAACCAAAGTAAGTCACACGGCTAAGCCCAGAGCTAAGAACTGGAGAAATCGTCTTAACTTCTTGATTGGGGGATCTGCAAAATATCATGGCCATTTAAAAACATATCACACCAGGAGATTTTCTTTGGCTAATAAAATGCAAAAGCTTTTGAGGAGGAAATTAAAGAACCAGTGCATCCTTTCCTATATTCTCTTCTCCCTCTTGCACACTAACCAGATGCACTGGGAAAGGTGGTGGCTCCATCTGCCTCAGTGCTGGATTACTCAAGATGAGCAGAGCCTTAGCTAACTTGCACTGGACATGTGGCTTGCATAAGGAACAGACCTTTGTTGTTTGAGGTCATGCAACCAAACTGAGATACTTTGCTACAAAATTTTGGTGTATCCAAACTCAAACAAAAGTTGTACAAGCATTCAAATGATATTTTAAAAGAATAATTATTTATGTGGAAAATAGTTCATTATATAATTCTACATAAACTGGCAGATGATAAGCCAGCATATATTTAGATGCTAAATAACTCTAAATTTGTCAAAACAAGCAAATAAACGCATGTGTGTCTTTGCAGGAAATATAACAGAGTGTGAGCAGTGGGATTACAGGTAATTTTTATTTTCGTCTTTCTTCTCTGTATTTTCCAAATTTTCTACAAGTTTGTAGTATCATGGTAGATCATATTATTTGCTCTAACTACACCCTAGCACCTCCCTCTCCAATGCCATGTGATTTCCCTGCTCAGTGTGGCAGGATGTTAGGTCCTAAATTCATCAGATTTGGGCTTTGCCATATGATATACTTTGGCCAATGCAATGTGATTAAATATGCCATTCCCTGTGTTGGAACAGAAGGTTTAAGGTTCATTTTGAGTTTTGCACAGTTATCTCTCTTTTTTTTTATTTTGTCATTGCCATGTTATCTATCTTTTTTGTTTTTATATCAAGCTAACATTGGCTTACAATACTGTGTATAGTTTAGGGGAATACATTCACACCTCCTCAGATATATGTTACCACTCCACTCCCACCACCAAAGCACCCACAGTCCTTTACCCTAGGCCACTGTGCCCTCTTCTTGCCCCCTTGTTCCCACCCCAACCTTTTCTCCCCCTCTAGTGGTCTCTGTCCTGCAGTTATATTTCTAGACTTTGTTTTGGTTTAGTGTTGCTTGCTACTTTGTTTTCTTCTCTATATTCTACATGAGTGAAATCATCTGGTATTTTTCTTTCTCCTTCTGACTTGTTTCACTTAATATAATCCCTTCCAGTTCCATCCATGTATCCATCCAATTCCATCCTATATTCATTGCAGCACCATTTATAATAACCAAATTATGGAAAAAATGTAAGTGCCCAACAACAGAGGAATGGATTAAGAAGTTGTGGTATATACACGCAATGGAATACTATTCAGCTGATAAAAAGGATAAAGTCTTGCCATTTTTGACAACATGCATGGAAGTTCTCTAGTGCTTTCCCAGGCATGACCCATATAGGGGTTGCTCTTTCATTCTGGGTCCTGAAATGAGAAGACAGAGCAGGGCCAGGGTGTGAGATAATAGCAAATATGTGTGTGTATGTGTGTGTGTATATACATGTGTGTGTGTGTATATATATATATATATATATATGTACATTTATTGGTCTTCAGCCAAAATTCCTGGCACAGAGCTCCAAAATCCCTTGGAAATGCCTCGGTGGTAACATTGTGTTTTGCTCTAAAGATGTGATGCTTGGTGGGCTCCTAGATGGGGCATGGGAAAGACCAAGTTGTGACTAGAAGCTTGAAATTCTCAGCCCAATCCCCTATTCCAAGGGAGAGAGGGAATGGACATAGAACTAATAATTGATTAGCCCTATGTGATGAAGCCTCCATAAAACCCCCAAATACAGAGCTTGGAGAGTTTCCTGGTGGGTGAACAGGTGGAGGTGCTGAGATCACCAACACACCATGTTGATGCCCGAGAGGACACGGAAGCTTCCAAGCCTTTCCCACATACCTTATTCCACATGTCTCTTCCACTTGGATGTTCATCTGTTTCCTTTATCATATCATTTTATCATAAATTGGTAAACAGTACATAAACTGTCTTCTTGAGTCACTCTTTCTTAAATCCAGAAAGGGGTTTCTGACCTAGAGCCAGTGGTCAGAAGCACAGGTGACAATGGACTTATGACTGGCATCTTATAGGACAGAGCCCTCACCTGTGAGTCAATGCACCTTCCAGGTAGATGGTGTCAGCATGGAGCTGAATTGTAGGACACCTCTGCAGGTGTCACGGCATTGCTTGGAGTGAGAAGATAACCCATACAAATCTGGTGTCAGGTGTGCTGTGATGTGGGGATGTTCATAAGCCACAAATAGAAAGGGGCGGATCACTTATTAAACACAATATGCTCACTTCTTCACAGAAAGTGTGGCTTTTTTACTTTTCTATATTACTATAATCTGGGCCTCCCTGGTGGCAAAAGGGGTTAAGAACAGCACTATGAAGCAATCTGCAGCCTCTGCAACACGAGTTTGATCCCCAGATGGCCAGGGAGGTGACCCACATGGCGCAGCAGACCTCTCCTGCCTCACCTGCTGCTCCCTCAGCAGTGTATTTCAGTCAGTCTGCCTGTTCTGTTCCCCACTCTGTCTCTGGTGAATCCTCTCACCCCTTGCATCTCTGGCCTGCACCCCAACTCTTGTATGCATAAATAAATAAATTTTTTAAAAAATAAATTACTATAATCTTCCTATGAGCCCCATCCTGCTGAGTAACAAGGAAACTCATTTGAGTATGGCACTGTTCCCTCCCGTCTCCGCCTCTAGAATGCCAGTTAGCACCCAGGTTCACTTATCAAGTTGCTTTGGAGATGGGGAGGTAAGGACTCAGATCCCCTGCTCCTCCTTGGAACCTCACCTTCGGAGAAATTATGTCTCTGTGTCCCTGGCCACTCTTTGCCCCGGGCATCTTCTGTGGACAGCTGTGACTAGAATATTCCAGTCTGCTCTTTCTCAGTCCAGTCAGGTCCTGGGGTCCCCCTAGCTTACTTGCTCCCTCTCAGCTCTCCAGGGATTTCTGTCCCTGAAGCAGGGCTGTGATTCCCAGCTTGGGAAATCTGCCCTGCTCCCCTGTTTTTGCAGCTTGCCAACAATACCATTAACTTCCCCCTCTGCGCTTCCCTGGGCCCCCGGGGGCCTTCTGGATACTCTCCAGGCCACGTGGGCAATGGAGACACCTGGGCTCAGCCCTGCCCTGCGGCCCAGCCAGGACCGGTG